TCCTAGTCTCAATCTAGAGAATTGTAATGTTCAAATATTCAGGATAGCTGTTATGAAGATTTGTTGCTGAAAACAACCAGAGAATTGATGATCTGACCAATGGCACTTCATTTATCAAAGCAAGGTTTAGTGACTGATCTTGGCAACTCTGAAGAAGATATATATTTTAACTTTGATAACAATGTTATCACTGCTAGGCTATTTTTCAGTTCAGGTTTCTAAACAGCTATCTCCTAGATATCTGTATGAGATAGCTGACCCAGTGTTAGACAGCAAACATAGGATTTTATATATATAGATACATGTATAGATTTTATATATATTTATATATATTTATTGATATTTATATTTTTATTAAACCTATAGCAGAGGTGAGTAAACCCACTGGTTTCAAAAAATTTTAGGGACATTTTCACTGTAATGCTAGGAGAAGGATATCAGACTGAGAAAGCAAAAACGAATGTTGCTGTAAATAGACCAGCTTGCGGACTGTATATATATACATATATATATATATGATAATAATCCTGTAACAGGCATTTTTTGTTAGTTTCCCTGCTAAGATTATGAGGCAATAAAAAATACGGAAAAGATGTTTTCCATTATAGTTGTTTTACTGTCTTGCATGGTTCTCCTTACAAGTTACTGGCATGTAAGGGCAAGTAAATTTTCTAAATAAGAAAGACATCATGACTGACAATACCAAGATTTCTCCAAAATACATTTAGCTGACCAGAACAGCTGCAAGATATCTCCTCCTTGATGTTTAAACCTCTTGTCTTGTGTTTGCCTGCTGCAGGCTAGCAGCAACACATCTCATGCTAAGAGCTCAGCACAAGCTAAGCACCTAAGTATTTACTCTATTTCTCAAGTGGATTTTGCAGCCACACTGAGCTCTCTATTGCTGCAACTGGACTGGTTCCAGAGCTGAAGATAGCTCACTAAGGTCCGCTCGACCTGCAGTCACTGTAAAGTTAATGTGACTGAAAAAGTAAGTCCTTGAACTAAAATTCCCTTGTCCAAGGGAGATTTTCATGCAGTACACAGGCAGTAATGTTTCTTCCTATTATTGAGACGCTATGCTAACAGCTTCTTTAATCTGGGCAGCCAGCCCAACTTTCCCAAATGAGGAATTTTTTTTCAAGTTATTCACAGAAAACATAGTTTGAAAAGTCCTCTGTGTTCCCTAATGATACACAATGAGAACATAAAAACCCTTTAAATAGTAATGAGCATCAATCATTATTAATAACTTAGCACAGAGACTGCCACCCAGTCCCATGCTTAGGGACTTTCTGCAGCAGAAACTGGAGAGGCCGACTTGATCTCTCTATCAAGTATGGACGCACACTGAACTCCAGCCAAAAAATTATAATTCTAATATTTTTATAATGTAGGCAAGATTACATTCTATATTTCTGCTAAATAAAATGGGTATGACATCATGAGGTGGAAGGATGGAATATGTACAACATAGACAAGCTACCAAGGATGTAAACTGGTAAGTCTATAAGGGTCTGCAACAGCACAGGTCCAAATGCAGTCTAACTACACTAGCATGGTGCTGCACACAAACTACTACTCCAGTATTACAGATACCAGATAACTGATCAAAATCATGCAAACTTCATGAAGATACTTGACAATGCCTACTTTAGGATTAAAATTATCCAGTGCTTTGAGCACCTTTTCCAGGATGATGGATTTGTTGCTAACAGTTCACAAAGTTTAATGCCTTATGAACTGTGCCTTATGAACTACTATAATTTATGGTTATTTATCAAGATTAAATGTCACGTGTTTTTTTTTTTAATGGAAGGGCAGTTGGAAAATTAAAATGAGCGTCAGAAATGTTGACTTTCAGGAAGGCAGATACTACTCTGGAATAACCCAACAGAAAGATTAGTACGATTGATTTATCATTTCTTACCAAAAAAAAAGCATCTTAAAGCCTAATTTCTATTTTATTTAGCAGAAAAATTGTCTGAAACAGTGCAGACTTCTCAAAACATTGTTTAATGCCCTTCCTCCCAAAAGAAGAAGAAAGGATCTTTTGATTTCAGATTTTTTAAAATTATATTTGAGGAGAATTTTGTTTTCTCTTTTGTTAGTAAGTATTTCAGAATATCCCTGTCAAGTGCTAACTGTTAGCTTAAAGGTAGAGATGTTGTGGAAGAGAGATGCCAACACACGCTGTCAACACTGTCTTATCAATCCATTGCAGAAACAAAGAACAGCTCAACTCAAACTCAGACACACATGCAATCTTTTTATTTTTAGATTAGTCCTAATGAGAAGCAATTGTTTTAGCTGCCAGCATAAACCAATAATGTAGGTCCGCATCTTCCTATATAAAGCTAATTTCTTGCAAACAGTCAGATGTAAAACTTGCACAACATAATGTCTTTCAGAGGTGGAAGTAACAGAAACTTTATGACTACTTTTGTTTCCTCCATGTTCAGCTTTTCTCCCCTATATCTAACCATCATTTACAACTTGTTGCATGTTCTCACGCTCTGCTCTTCCCTACCAGGTCAGGAACAAGCTTCAGGGAACTGCAAATTCCCCTAGAAGATCAAAGAATGACTGTGGTCAGATGATTATTCCCAGCAACCAGTTAGGAGCTTACTGGGGCCAGTTAATAATTATAATAATAATTATAATGCGCAGCTCTACAGCTTGAAAGGACCAGAGAGACCTTTCCTCTCAATATAGGAAAGGAGAATTTTCAATCACTGAGTGCAGTCAGTCTCACTTCTACTGGCAAGAAGTAGTAATGCTCCAAACAGTGGGGAGAGTTCACCAGTGTCCTACCACCTGGGGAAAGGAGGCTGACAGATGGAATTTTATGTTCAAAGTGCTGTCTCGTGCTCTGAAATGAACTCTACACATAACATAGTACAGCAATTTGAAACAGAGTATTCCCAAAGTTAGCAACACTCAGTGGCATAAGAACAGGAGAATTCAGGAAACAAGAAATGCAAATTAGATATTTGTTTTAAATGAATGATATCTGTAACCATACATAGATTATTCATGCAATAAATGTGTATTAACATTCACATACAATTATGCATATTATTAAGTAACTTATTACTCTCACTGACACAGCTGATTTTATTTGGGTTGTTTTTATTCTAAGATAATAGTCAACATGATTACAGATATGACTTACAAGCCATTTCAGTTATCTAATTATTATATTTATAGCTTAAAGTAAAACCACATTTTGGAATCTGCTTAACCATTCAGTGAAATTTTCTCCCAATAACATTTCAAAGAAAAGATCATAGTGGTATATGGAATTTGAGGAAACAAAGACAGAAGAATTACAGTACTGTCAACTTGTTGTTCATTATTGTGAACTTGCTGACCTTGTCAGATGTTAAAAAGATGATGGATGCCCTCATGAATATCCTACTCTGCAGCTGTGTTAATTGCGCTCTGGGCCTTAGACAGACTTCATATTTAACCATACACAAAATAGATTTTCAGATTAACACCTAAAAATGTCCTTTTTTTAGGATCTGGTTTTTCACACTGAACTTAATACTTACAATGCCTATGAAAGATGCCTACCTTCAACAGACAACAGGTTTCCAAAGCTCGATATCTGAACTAGTGAAAAGTCTACCAACCATTTTTAATACTAATTACAATGGAAAACTTTGCAGTTGAGCTCCATTACTATGGAGGCAGATCATGAACTCCCTCAGCCAATTTACAGGGTAGGGGCTTGGCAATCTTCCCATAGTAATAAATGTTTATGATGATTAATATAGTAGAAGTCTGAAAAACAGGAATAATTTGGCATTTTCTTTCTTTACTGAATAACAAACCATAACATTGTTTAGCATTGAAAGGTCTACTAATTTTCTTAGACTGTCAGAGTCAATTATCAATGAAGTAGAGCTTCAGCTACATGAGTAGGGTCAGATTTTGGCCCACTCTATGCAACTATGTTGTAAAGATGCTATCCTATTTTATGCCATCTATTTGATTACTGTTCATAATACAGGTTCCCTCAAGTCTTCTCTTGCACAACTGTTTTGGGGAGGCAGAAATTATGATCCACTCGACACTTATATACTGTGCCTGATACAGCTCTGGCACAGTTTGTTCCAATTCTAGTGCCTCTGTGAAGTCAGGAAGATGCTTCCCCTTGCACAGAATAGATGGTTAGCATGACGTTAGTCAATAATCATCTGTCGTTCTTATGTGTTTCCCAAGTTATGACTCATAATCAAGATAATACCAGTTAAAAAGTCAATGGCCCATTTCAGATAGTTCTGTGCTGCTGAGAATTCTCATTTGTCAAAGCAGTTTCTCGTTTCACTTAATTATAGTGAAATTACTATTTTCTTAAGTTATTTTACCAGGTGATGACTAAGGAAGAGTTTAAACAAGGGTAATGGAGGAAAGCATGTACATTTGGAGAATGTAAACAGAGTCCTTGTACATATTATCATTCATATTACTCAGCATAATTCTATAGTCTTGTAACTACTGTAACTCATAGCTGTCCAAAGCTGCAAAATACAAATAGCAATTTACCAAATTGAAAAGATCTTTCTGTGTCATTTCATATTTCTATCAGTTTTCATTCACTATTCCATCTGCTAAAAGGGAGCAGATCTTTCTTTATATAACATGGAAATTCAGAATATTTTTAAATTTTGTATCAGTTTTAGAATTTTGGTGCTAAGGTTTCTTTAAAAAACAGAAACAGGATGGTACAGAGATTACTGCAAAAATTTGTTTTCTAGTTTTGATTTTTCACACTCTTCTTATATTTTTCTTTAAAACTGTTTTATCTTCCCTTCTATAGCATTCTGGTATTAAGTTATCTTGTGATAGGTTACTGAAGGCTGTATTTGTGCTGAGATAATTTGACAGAAAGCATTGTATTGTTAAAAATATCATAAGCAGGTGAAATTATATACCTACCATAGTATTACACTTACACCAAAGATTATGTAAAGGATTATTTGGTGATTTACCTTGTCTCGAGGAAGGTAGTCTTGCTATCTCTAGGGAACAAGGTTTTTTGGTCACTGCTATGTCTATCGAATCACAAAGACTGCTGACATTTTCTGAAGGAACTGCAGCCAGAGGAACAGAGGGTATTGCTTCCAATGCATAAACTCTCTTCTTTGAATAAGATTCCTGAAAAGCAAAAATGCAACTAGGTAAAAGATACACTTGCTGAACAGCAACACAAGAAAAGAACCAGGTTCAGTAACTATGGCTAACAGAGTTTAAAATTCAGCAAGTTAAATATATCACATTCTGCTGAAATACAAATTGTAATTGACTGGAAGGATTACTTACATACTAGAGTAAAAAGATAACTTTTTTTGTTTTTAGAAAAAAGTTTTGTAATATAGTACTGTATAGGCACAGAGATTGGTGGATTGAGAACTGGCTGCACGGCAGAGCTCAGAGGGTTGTGGTCAGTGGTGCGGAGTCAAGATGGAGGCCTGGAGCTAGCGGTGGCCCCCAGGGGTCAGTACTGGGTCCAGAATAGTTCAATGTACTCATCAACGACCTGGACGAAGGGACAAAACTGGGGGGAGTGGCTGACACACCAGAAGGCTGTGCTGCCATTCAGAGGGACCCGGACAGGCTGGAGAGCTGGGCGGAGAGGAACCTCATGAAGTTCAACAAAGGCAAGTGCAAGGTCCTGCACCTGGGGAGGAATAACCCCATGCACCAGTACAGGCTGGGGGTTGACCTGCTGGAAAGCAGCTCTGCAGAGAAGGACCTGGGAGTGCTGGTGGACAACAAGTTAAGCATGATTTTTTCTCAGCCCTGGGGAGGCCTCCCCTGGAGTACTGTGACCAGTACTGGGCTCCCCAGTACAAGAGAGGCATGGAGCTAATAGAGAGAGTCCAGCGAAGGGCTACGAAGATGATTAGGGGACTGGAGCATCTCTCATATGAGGAAAGGCTGCGAGAGCTGGGCCTGTTCAGCCTGGAGAAGACTGAGAGGGGATCTGACCAATGTGTACAAGTATCTGAAGGGAGGGTGTCAAGAGGATGAGGCCAGACTCTTCTCACTGGTGCCCAGCAACAGGACAAGAGGCAACGGGCATACACTGAAACACAGGCAGTTCCATCTGAACCTGAGGAAAAACTTCTTTCCTGTGAGGGTGACAGAGCACTGGCACAGGTTGCCCAGAGAGGTAGTGGAGTCTCCTTCCCTGGACATATTCAAAACTTGCCCGGACGCGATCCTGGGAATATGCTCTAGAGGACCCTGCTTGAGCAGGGAGGTTGGACTAGATGATCTCCAGAGGTCCCTTCCAACCTCAACCGTTCTGTGATTCCGTGATTCTGTGATCTCTCTTGTTCAGATGCTTTCATTACATGTCATGAAAGATACAATTGCATTTACCAGTGCAATTACGTTGCCTTTGGGAATTATTTTTCAATATGTTTATATTATAAATAAGAAGGCTAAAGATGTCATGTATATTCTGAAGTCAAAACTCCAAAATGCCAGTGGGGATTATTATCTTCCATAAATTCTGAATGTACAGCAATACTGGCATAAGGTCCCTTAACAGTGATCCATACAGTGAATTCCTGTCATTAGCACATGTTGAGAAAAAGGGAATTAGCCAGAAGTTTTGCTGGTGCACTAAACTGTTCAATTGAGCAAACCATGTCTGCTTCAGAACATGAATAAGCAGATGACATACTGTTTCACAAGAGTTTCTCGATTTCTGTGATTTTTACCTCAGCAGAAAGCAATTGCATGGACAAAGACATATATTCCCACATCTTTCTTAATCAGACACATGGATGCATAGGAAAGTCAAAGCACCATACGTAAATCAAACATGATATAATAAGATGCAAAGGGTTATTTGAAAGCTTCTTGGCAGCTAGATATTACAGCACTCCTCAGAAAATGACTAAAGAATGTGATGCCTAGACCAAGATGTAGAATTACAATTTCTTTTTCAATAAGAAAAACTCATATTGCCCAAGGTGCACTATGACTGTAGATAATTGGCCCTTTTCCTACTATAAATGATTTATAATGTTAGAGAATTTCTGAACAACTGAATTTTTTGCAGTTTTCCTATTGTGACCTACTTTTTCTGAAAGTTCAAAATCTGGTAATAATTCAAAGCCTCTAGAAGGAAAGGATTGAGACGGTAGCAACAGGAACTTCAAAATTCTAATTGATGACTTCAGTAGAACCAAATGTTAATCTTCTCCTAGGTTGGCCTGCCATTACTTGAAAATGAATACTGGAAATAGTTAACAAAAAATCATAGTAGTAGAAAATACACACAATATTAACCAGTACTTGTAAAAAAAAAAAATAGGTTTCTGCTGGAAAATGATACAAGACCAGTGGTCAGTGTTCAAAATATGCCAAAGAAGAACATGTTTTTTTCCTGTTTGGCCCTTTTTCTATGTTTGTTTAGTCAGGGTTTGAGCTCTCTGCATTAGCAGTCTTACTAATATATATAAATAATAACTAGGTTAAGCTAGGGAACTCTAAATACATAACAAGGCATTAGACAAAGTTCATCAGTGGGCCACCTGCAACTTCTAAAAAGTAAGCACAATTTTATCACTGGAATAAATGTGCTTGGAGTTGAAACCTTAGATTTAACTCACAGAAGACTTTATAAGCTTTGTAATTTATAAACAATAGAACCATTAATACTGTATTATAAAATATTTCTGCCTTTTTATCATAATAAATATAGAAAATGTTTCTCACTAGACTTCACTAGGTAGCTGTGGAGTATGGAGGCACTGAAGTGGCTTAAGTACAACTGCAAAACAAGAGGAAGGTTCCTTCCTACATTGAAAAAAAGAAATTGCTACTCTGTTCACTTAAGTCTGCTGTATAATGGCTAAGCCAAAAGACTTATTTAACAAGGCAATGACTACAACAGCAAAATTCAGTCTAACCATTGCACATGCAAGCTTCTGTAAGGATAAGGTGGACTGCAGTAATCCTAGTAATAGTAAATCCATCTACAGAAGCATACAAAGAAATACTGCAGTTTAAAGCTGTCACTGGAGGCTGAGGTGAAACTGTGCTCAACTGCTGAATTCAGCTACATTAAAAATAGATATTAGAACATAAGAATAGATATACTGGATCAGAATTAATATCTCTCTGTCCCAACACTGTCTCCAGAGGTGCACAGCAGTGCTTACCCAGAGAACAGCATAAGACCAGTATAAGCATGTAGTGATATTTCTGCAGCCTACAACCCTTTGAAGGTCAGGCCTTTCATGACCAAAAGGTGCTGGCTTTGTTTTTCATGTCCATCAATTGAACTTTCAAAAAATTAACTTGCCCAGTTCCCTTTAGACCACACGTAAGCTTTTATAGATTGCATGCACCCCATTTTGTTTTTAACCTATCTCATTCCATTTGATGTCCCCTAGTTCTTGTACTTCAGGAGGCCATGAATGGTGGTTCCTTATTTATCTCCCATTTCCCTCATGATTTTACAGATATCCATCACACTATCCCTATGAAAAATTCTAGTCTTTTCACACAGCTGTTCCAGGCTGTTGACCACCCCGTCACCTCTCACTCTCTCTCTAACTTCAGCAATGTGACAGAGGGATCAGATTTTCACATTGCATTCATTATGTGGGCTCACAAACTATTTATACAGTGACATAATGATGTTCCCTCTTTTGTACTCTATTCCTTTTCTAATTACTCCTAACATCCAATTTGCTTTTCTGACTGTTATTCAACATTGTGTAATTAATGTTGCAAGAATATAAATGTCAGGCTACTGGGAAAACGGTTGGATTGTACATCACTGACAAGTAAACTCTCTCCCAAATAAAGCAAATATGATACCACTATGCCAAGCAAAAGTTAAATAAGTTAGAGTCAAAAAGAATTGTTAATACTGAAGAATGTCTGGAATTCTATCAGCTGAACAATTAAGTGAAGAAGTTAAGCCTTAATTATAAAGTGCATATGTATCAAAAAAAAAATTAAAAAGCTCATTGGTGAAAGAAGGCAATGTAAAGATTTCTGTTTGCAGTAATGTGTTCCCCATTTTGCAGGCACTGAGCATATTCTAGAAATTTTTAAACTCTAAACAATTCAAACAGCTAGAGTTAGATGCTAGCAGATCACATAAAATTGTCTTCAAGTATCAGGCATCAAGCAATGTAACTGTTTTTTTTTTAACATTAAAAGCTCTTCAGCAATTTTTTCAATAATATCAGTTCTGTTGTCTCACCTCACCCACTGCAGTGTGCAGTCATTCTACAGTAATCCTACATATGTCCTAGATATATTCCTCTGCATAATAAACCCTTTTAAAGAAATATACCTCCATTATTGCAGAGCAATCTTTATTCCTGACATCAAAATAGTCTGATTTTAATTTTAAACAATTAGAAGTGATTCAATCTTGAATTTCTATAAACTGTTCCAAAAAGCTAAAGCTGACTTATGTAATTGGCCATCTACTATCAAGTCAGAATTCATTCTTATGTAATTGGCCATCTACTATCAAGTCAGAATTCATTCTTATTTGCAATTAGAACTTCATAAAAGTAATGTGCTGGGCTGGCAGTATATTAAAATGAGTATTTTAGTCTTAAGTATAAAAATATATACACAATAGATGTGAAAGAGAGAAAAAGTGAGAGAGTGAGTCACTAGGAAAGCATCAGAGAACAGTCGTCTATACTGATAAGATATAAATGAGACTTCTGCCTTCTAGATAAGAAGCAGCAATGCGATGCTTAGGTTGCTGCAAAGATGCCAGGGACACACTATGCCCATTACTGAGAGGTCTCCAGCCAACTGGACCTCTTCTGAGAACATATTTGATTGTGTAATACTTATCATAGGTAATCCAAAATTGATACAGGACTGGAGAACTGAAAAGGAAGAAAAAGATATTTGGTTGCTGACCAATGGGAGAGAGTGTGCTTCAAAAAAGTCTTAAGGGCAACTGTAAAAGGTAAAATACAAGTCTGAAAAAAATATTCCATAACATGAGTAAACCTTCAAAAACTACGTATTTGTAAGTTTAAACTTTTTTCCATGTTTCTGCCAAGCTTTAGCCTTCTAGATGCTCTTGCATCCCTTGTAAGAATCGGTCTGACTAGTGTATACTCAAGGACTGAGATATAAGTCCTTAGCTGCATAAA